TGCTCGCTTGTTGCTCACGACATAAACGTCATCTTTGAATTTCAAAAAGTAACGCACGCATGCGCATTCTGTTTTTGTCTAGGCGTTTCCCGCCCGTTCGCCTCGGATACGTCACCGAAACGAATTGACCGAGAGGGACTGGGAAAACGCCGTACAGGGACTAGGCAAGTCATGTGCTACAAATTGACGTTGCCGTTTTCCATAAAGGTGAATCTAAAACTCTCTAATGGATTGATATGTTACACTTCATTGAGAAAACAGTGTCAGGCACCTGAAAACTGCTAAACTAAGAGAGATCTAAAAAGGGCTTTTAACTTGCACATGCATCATCGATTAGCGAGAACTGGCGAGCGAGCGATCATCGTCATTCATTAAATAAATATGAGTCAAGAGATCATATAACAGAACAGGTCAAGCACGTCGTTCCTAGAAGGGGAGTTGAAAAGAAAAAGGGAACAACAAGAAATTCTGTATCAATCATATAAGTTTAATAAACTGTGTGTTTGTTAAAGTAAACTGCAATTGTCTCTTTGCGACGAGATGACGGAATTTAACAATTTATGGACAGGATCGGAAAATAGTGAGTAATAACTACAAATATATAGATATTTTGGCGTTTTTAAATGGTACTCCGTACTGCCAACGTCAGTAATACTGAAATATGAGATTGTTGTCCGCTTCTTTTGATCAGACATTTTATCAACATATAAGTGATAATAAAAATTAACTACTGGCGTCACCGGTCTGACAAACATTGAATTTCTGCGTTTAAGTTTCTTGGTAATGTCTCTAATTGTTCTAACTTGGGGATCTTTGACGTTCCAAAAAAAATAAAAATTTAAACGTATCCTGTGTTGAACGTTATCTTTGATCAGTTTTAATTGCTTTAAATTTTGTTTGCTTTATTGACCAAACCATTCACGTAATTTATAAAACATCTTCATTAGCAACCTACTCAGACAAGTTTGCTCAGAATTAAGAAGCTTTTTGACACCAAAAGTTGGTAAACATGTAACCGATCAAAGGAGCTGAAAAATTTGAGGTGCGTACGATATAAAACTTTTTAACAAGAATGGCAGATAGAGATGTTTGTAATTACAATATTTCGTAATCATTTATCAATTTTGATCATCCTGACAGAGGACATCTTCATGTCCAACGGCCACAAGTGCGCCGTATGTGAAATATTCACCTGTTAGGGTCAGGACTTAAAAGACCTTTTCCGCTTCTCTCTAGCTAGCTTTTTCTCCCCAGAAATGCTTAATCCTTAGTACTCGGGCTAACGAGTTGTAAATTGCTAGAGAACGAGTTGAATTTGCGACTTGGACTGATGGGGCCATTTTAACTTTGGGTGAAAGTGGTCAGTTGAAATTCTGAGTTACTTTTGTAAAGCCAAACAACATTGGAGTATTTACTTTAATTTTATGTAAGGTACCTCACGGCTCATCAGTGAATTAGAATTGCGACTGGTTAAGTTTGAGTGTGTGAAGTCGTATCAGGTCAAGTCAGGTCTATTTCTCTTTCCAATGAAAGAAACAGAAATTAATGAAAACAATAAGTATTTGCATTTCGTGAGACAGGCATGTAGACAACAGAAACTATAAAAGATAATAATAATAATAATAATGATAATAATTTATTCACTTAATATAGCGCCTTTACACATTAAAATGATCAAAAGCGCTAGAGGTAGATCAAAGATAGTTTGACAGTTGTAATAGTCGGCTTAATTTCCCCTTAAATTGACTCCTGCGAAGGTACCGTTTTTATATATTCACTCTTTCCAGTAGCAACGACTGAGCATTTCCAGTAAAGCGAACAGAAAATTCGCCATAATTTGGGAAGAAAATAATTGGAGTGGGTATCTCTAATATAAAAGAAATGAATCTTAGAAACAGGCTTAAAATAACTTTCAAATATACTTCAGGCAGCTTATGATTCGAAAAAATCATAAACAATAATAAACATATAAGTCTATAAAAACTAAATGTAAAGTCATTGAAGTATAGTTAACTGTTTAAAAAGTGGCGGACCATAGGATTGGAAGTGAGAATTGTTTAGCAGTCTAATAAGAAATAGGAATTTGCAGGTTGTGACGGTCAACTTTGAAAGCCTTCTCTGTATTTTTTCACTTACATTTTCAATTCCCCTAGCATGAGGTTTTACTGCGCCTTAAAAATATGTGCGAAGACCGGTGTGTAGACCGAAATCTTGAACAAAACCAGTTTTTCTTTGCATGGCATCGAAAGATGACGCGCTTCCCTTATTGCAAAATAACTGAACCCTTTAGTTGCTTTGTCGTGCTTTTCAGTACAAACTACATGCTTTTTTGTCCGCAAACTGTTCTATCCCATCCTTACAGGAGTTTTACTTACCTCATATTTTTATCAGGTTTTTAGTTCTTTATTTTGGAGGCTAAATTTATACAGTTTCACTGATGTGAAAAAGAGCAGAAGTTTGAATCAGAATACTATATATCCTTGACGGAAAGAGTGATGAAAAAGTATTTTTAAATAGTGTTTTTCGAATACGATAAATTCAAATTGTATCTTCTAATTCTTTTCATCTCGGTATTTTTTTTGCTATTAAATTTTGTTTCGTTTTAATTCAATAATTGCATGATTTATCCAGGGCCCGCGGAGCAGTTTTCAAAGTGCGGGGGCCGATCCACCTCTTTTGAAGTGAAGTTGGGGGAGGGGGGCGGAGGTTGTAGGATTGTGGACTTTAAAAATGGTTTACCTGGTGCCGACTATATATTTTTTGATACAGTTGCCACTCATCAATCATTTTCTTAAATAGTTTAACAAACGAGAAAGGAGTTAGTATCAAAAAGGTGTAACCATGCACAGCAGCATCATAATTTTCGCGTGTTTCATTTACTTCAAAAGCTTGTCCGTTTTCTCCTTGCGGCTGTTTAGAGCTTTTCTTTATTCATTGTCACGGAATGGAGCCATGTTTCAGACGGTTTTAACCTTCGAACTGCCGAAATTGACCTTTTCCTGCTGCGATGGTTGCGGATTTACCAGCAGAAGCTTGCAGATCGGGACAATTTCATTTATCATGCTCTGCTATATCTTGATATTAAAGTGTGAAAACATGGAACGGTTATCCAGACAGTTTTAGCTCTTCTCAAGCTTTAGAAATTTCTAGGCAATATTTGCTCCTTCGAACAGTTATTTTATGCGTCGCTGGGTGCCCCTGAGTTTTGTAAAGATAGTCGTTTTCAGTGAGGATCACCATATGATATAGGATCGAAACGGACCAATCATCAATTTGGATGCTTTCGGCGAGGTCTGCCAGTCGAATATTCTTACTTCATCAAAGATTCCTTGTATTTGAAAATGTGTATTTCTTTTCTTTTCTCTTTTTCCTTCAAAAAGTGGGGACTGTGTTTCAAATTACGCATCAGTTGGGATATATTTTTTTAAGTTCTTTTTGTTTTTTCTTTTTTGAGCGTCGCATATACGAGTCAGTAAATCAATTTTCTTTGTTGCTATCTAGACTGCAAGGTTATCCCAGTGTAGAGCACCTTTATCTGGCCGATTCATTGCTTGCAAGAGCTGGTTCATAGAAGCCCTTATCTATTTACGACATTATCCTCAGAAATTTTGTTTTCTTCTAATTCGATCCAGTAACTGTCTGATATATTACACAATGTTTCAAGCGCATCAGTTGCCTAGTTTTTGTTTATTTCGTGTAGCATGCATGTATACAACTGAGGAAGAGCCAGCAAATAAACTTTATTTTTGTTGGTTTTTAAATACGGCTACAAGGTTATCCCTTGTAGACCAGTTTATTTCTTTTATTTGGCCGGTTCATCGCTCAAGAGTTGGTACATAAAAGCACTCTTATTTATGACTCTGTCCATTCACAATTTCAATTAAAATGTTTGTGTAATATTATTACTATTTTATCGCATTTTTCTCGGTTCTCAGAGACTGTTCAGTTCGTTATTGGATTGCGTTCGGAAAGTGCTGATTTTAGCCATTTTTGACAGAGAAAAACCACTTGTTTCCCCATCACCGACGATAATTTTGTACTGCCTCTGTAAATTAACTGAAAACCACCGGGTATTGCATGGAATTTTTGTTTTGAATACAGAACAAAAATTATTGAAAGTTTATGGCAACAGCATGCAAGCTAGCAGACTCTACTGATGTATTAGTTAATCTGCATAACGAGAAACTCGGGTTCAGTCTGACCTCATACACTCAGCTACACTGCATACGTAGTGGATCAATAGGGTTAGTCCTTATAGTTGGCCTAGATGACCAATTTTGATTTCTCTGTTTCACGGTTTCCGCATCTATGGGACGATACACTTTTTGTAATAAGTGAATTAAGGGAGTTATTGACTGGAAATAGCTCTGAAAATTGTAGTAACATCAAACGTATTTGAGCCTGCAGCTGCTTGCATCTTTCTCTAAAAATACATCAATATCGGGGAGATAAAAAAACTGTCTTATATTTCCTTTTTTTAGTTGTTCTTGAATCGCGGTTTCAACTTTTTCTTAGTAAACTTGAATGCAGGGCTTTTGACATTGACTTTGGTGCAATTCAATAAAGTCAACAATATGGTCTGCGATCGGACAAATTTCCTGAGGGTACTTCTTTATCTAAGTTGTCCCCGGGTTATTATTCTATATAACTTACTGATAGGACCATATTATATCTATCCCTATTATATTACAGCTATGCCCGTTAGGTATGTATATAATCTGTATAGCTATATACCCCTTTTGGTCTGAAAATGGGGGAGAGAATTTATCCCCAGTTTTAACCTGAAATAGAACAGAGTAAGGAAAGTCAAATTTGTTTGTGTGAAAAAGGGTAAAGGATTTAGGAATCATATTACGGCGCACGGCCCCACCGCAATTTCCAGGGCCTGCACATCCCACCCCGACTCGTGGTTATGCATCGGTTCTCCTTCACCAACGAAATTCATTTTTATATGTCAATGAATATTATTCATTATTATTTTATTTTTACAAGCTTGGACGATGGCTGACATGACAACATTGATAGTTATCAGTTCCTTTATCATGTTCCCAGCTGTGATGATGGCGCAGGAAGTTGTAAACCATGGAGGTAATGACTAATGACATCAGGACCAAAATTTTATTGCGCACCTATTTGTAGGCATTATGTTTAAGCACCCTGTTGCTGTTTCATATACAGAAAGCTGTCAAAAAATCATTCTGAAGTAAAAAAAAAAATGAAATAGTGATTTTTACACATAAAAAAATGTGCGATCAAGACTTCAAAACGAGCCAAACGCCTTCGTTCAAGACTGATCCTCTGTTTTACTTTCTTAAGAGATTTTAAATGAATTTGTATCCTAGAAAATCGTGCTATTATTATTATTATTATTATTATTATTATTATTATCGTCATCTTCATTTTTCTATTGTTATCAAATTATAATTATTCCTTTTCCAATACTACCGTGGCGAAGATTTATAATGGGGAGCTTATAAAGCAACAACGACGGCGACGATTACAAAAACGTCAATAGGGATATCTGTATTGTACTCTGGTTATTGACCTGATTGGTTAATTAAGTCTCGATGTGATTGTTCTTGAGTTAAGCCGTGTTGTTATTGGTTATGAAGACTCGGGTCGTTTCGATCGGTCTTTTGTCACAGTTTAACAGTGACGATCCACCGACAGGAAATGGTGATGTCAACAATCACACTTCTTATTGCTGAACACCATTTACAGACGAAACATAAAATCGACCGGGACTCTGCAACACGTATTACGCATTCTACAGACTACCATAACTAGCACTCATTTTAGAAAGCTGGCTTACTAAATTAGACCAAAAGCCACTGGAATGGCAGTCAACGGGCACGGTACAAACCACTTATGGCGGACTCAAGCAAAACTGACAAAAACAGAAGTGACTTTATAGGCAAGAGACAATTTGACTAACAATAAACGACTATAACAACAAACGACTTTGACTATGAAGATATGAAGATGACTACCCGACACAGTCCTATTCAGGACTACACCCTGACGATCATGCTCCACCTACTTATGCATTTATATTTGCTGTTCATTTATTGTTTTGCTGTTTCGTAGTTTGTCCCGTTCCGATGAATAAAGAAGAAGAGGAGATAATTAAAGAGCAGGAAAGGGACAGAGAAGAAATGGAAGAGATCATGAGAGAGATTGAAATCAGTTGTTTAGGTGAGTGATAAAAAAATAATAATAATAGAAACCATGGGATGAATAACTAAGTACAAGTAAAAATAAGTTAAGGAGGGTTGGGGTCGTTTTAGTTATACAAAGAACAATGTAAATTATGCATTTCTGAACCCGTTCTCTTCATTGGAAGCGTTGTCGTTCGTGGGACGAAAAAAATCCCACGCGGATACCCGGGGGGAGTGGGGGGTGTACTCCGGATTTCAAGGGACAGATCCTTAGAGCTTTTGTTCCAACGCCTACTCTCCATTGTATATACAACGCTCCTCATTCAATCTCAATTCGATTATAGTGATATTGTCTGGGGTAATTGTGGAAAAACTTTGTTTGACAGGCTACAGAAGCTTCAGAACCGTGCTACTCGTGTTCTAACCTGTTCTAGATATGATGCTTATGCCAACCGCTTATTTAGACAACTTAATTGGAAAGACTTGAGCACTCAGTTTCAAATACAAAAAGCCCTAATGGCTCACAAGTCTTTAAATGATCTTGTTCCAGGATATTTATCTTCTAAATTATTAAACGATGTGAAACGCGCTACTCCCTAAGGGACTCTGTTAACAAACTGAGTGGGAACTAACTTCATGAAGTTAGGAGAAGTGATATGAGAGGGCTAAATTATTAACAATACCAATTAGCTGCACTGAAGCACACCTACCATCTCTGCGTTATGGCCAGTACCTTATGCATGCGCACAACCATATCACCCGAGCAGTGGCAACCATGGATAGCTGGTTTGCTCTTATTGGGGCTCATTAGCTTGGCATAAATGCTGGGTCAACTAGCGGGGGATAGCCAGTATATTAAAGACCTTTCACTGCCAGGAGAGTGCAAGCACTGATTTAATCGTCAGCTCCACCGTAAACAAGTGGTAGCTGTTGGTTGGGAACTGAAAAACAGAAAAATTGACCTTTGTGCCCAAATAAATTTGAAACAATACCAATTAACTGCATTGAAGCACACGTATCAACTCCGCGGTATGGGCAGTACTTTACGCATGCGCACAACCATGAGCCCCAATAAGGGCGAGGCAGCTGTCCATGGCTGCCACTGCCGGGGTGATATGGTTGTGCGCATGCGTAAGGTGCTGACCATAACGCGGAGTTGGTACGTGTGCTTCAATGCAGTTAATTGGTATTGTTTCTAAATCTTTAAGTCAATTTAAAAGATTGGCTCGTCTGAATTTCTGTTTTTTTAAGTACTGTGTACACAGCATTCATGAAAAACAGGTCTTAGTTAGGTTAGTTATATAAAATTTTTGCATATTGTTTAGGGTAGTTAGGTTTATTTAAGTTTTTTTATACTCCTGATTAATTTTACCGGGTTTAAATAAAGAATTATTCTTTACTATTCCTATCAGTTGAAATCCGGAGTACCCCCCCCCCCACCCCCCTGGCGAGGATGCAAAACCGGAAGTCACTGGACAGTGTACAGGGGCACTCAACGGGAAATTTTAAAACAACAACAAAACATGAATAAAGCTTTCTGAAGCCATTTTCAGCATTTTTAGAGATGGCTACTAAAAATAAATCTGTTCCTCCCTCCCAGGAAGATTGATGGAAAAGTTCCTAGTCAGCAAGGTACACCTACAACCTACAACCTGGCTTACTGGAAGTTTCCCAGCAGACGTATGTCCAGACATTACTGGCCAGTTTTGGTGTGGTCATAGGGAAAAATTCACCCCTCAGCGGTGGGGGTGGGGAAGGGGTTTCTGATCCATAACACACAGTAACTATTCTAAACATCAAATCCCCTCAGACTCATTTTTTTCTTAGCAACACTTTCCTTCCAGGGACATATTATTTCTTCCACATCTCCCAGCAAAAATTGGCCTGAAGAACAGATATTTTGAGGAACAGATCCATTGGGTGCCCCTGAGTGTAGCCTAGCAGCACTATACGATGCGTCCTTAGGAGTGCAAAGTTTCTTGATTGAAGTTTTGAGACTAACCTTCCAAGTCCTTTAACAACTTAGTAAATCACGCCGTGGTTGGTGACATTGAACGATATGGTCGGCCATTTGTTTCAAAATTATGACACGATATACGTGCGTTTTTTTGCCACGTATACTTGCGTTCTTTCCTGCTTTGTGGGGTTTTTATTCCCAAGTATATGACCATTTTCTTACAAACGTGCATATATATGCGCACAAAAAAAGCCCATATATATGCGTTACAAACAAGCATGTGTATATGGGGTCACAGAAAGTCGTCGAATAAGAGGCGCCGAATGTAAAAAAAGGCTCCTTCAGATACGATGGAGCTGAAAAGTAACGTCAGTTTTCATCAAGCATGGCCGCAATGGCCGCGTTAATTTCAAGCAAGGTTTGGTTCTTATTCATTGCCCTCACAGTAGGGGTGGTTGTTGACTCCCTGACAACTGATTTGTTGGAATCCGTGGATTGTCTCTTGAGAGACTGTGTACGCTATTTCACGAATGCTGACCGAAATAACGATTGATTCAGTTAGAAATGAGCGTCTGACAGGAAAAACACGACTCATAAGTTCGTGTGATAATGTGAAACATGACCTTGAGAGTCTGCTTGAACAGATCGGTTTTTCTTCTTTTCTCTCTCTCGCGCGAATTATCACCTTTTCTCCTCCACGAACACGTTCTAAGCCTCCTAGTCTCGAAGCTTTTTATTCTTTCCCTCCATTCACTCTATAAATTCCATGTTTCTTGTTTTGTATTCTCACACTTTAATAGCCTTCCACCTGCCTCTCTTTCCTCGCTAATCCACTTTAATTGTGATTTTCATGATTATCTAACTCGTTCTCGTTCAACTTGTATAAAATGTCCCTTAGGTATTAATTTGCTATTAGTTGTCAAGCCCCGATTATTTGGCCAAGGATATCCCACTGATATCCCCTTGACTGTCCGTAACAGCCTCACCATCACTGACATTAAAAATAAACTTAAACTTTACTTTTTAATATCAATTTGCTATTAGTTCTCAAGCCCAGATTATTTGGAAGGATATTTTATTCATAACTTCAGTTTGGCGCTTTTTTGCAGCCAATGGCAAATCAGTATTTTCGATTATAGCCATTAGTATTTAAACAGCTAGTCTCGCTCTCTGCTCCAAAGACTTTACCATAGTAGCAACCGACGAGGAACTGCATTTTTGCAGAATTCATAACATTCGCATAGACACAGCAGTAAATTCCTACGAAGGAACAACCAGACATAGCGCTTTTGTTTAAGACTCACTTCCGATCTCAAAAAAAATTAAATGGACTGCATCAGGCTATCAGCGGTTAGAGAATGATCTTGACTCACGCAGAGCATAATTCTCCATACTTGGCCGGTAGCTTTAGTTTAAGCTACCGTGTACAACTCACTATCCGTGAAAATTCAAAATCGTTGAAACAACATTTATGAGCTGGGCCCAGCGTCATATTGACATAGCAGCCCGGGAGGGGCATTTTTCACGATTTCATATACCTTCTATTGACAAATGGTACTCCTTTCACTATTTGCATAGAACTTTATATCCCTTTTAACTGCTGGAAACCCGCACTGTCATAAATAGGAATCAGTCGCAAATATAGAACGCTTTCTCAACGGGTAAGGGGATGGACCTCGGGGCGGAGCCTCCCGGTCGTACAAATATTTGTTGAGTACCTCTCCGGGATTTCGGGCGGAGCCTTCCCTTATAGGCCATCATAGGGAGTTCCCTCCCCCAGGGTATAGCAGGAAATAATCACATTCCCGGACAAAGAAAGTTACATGCATGCATGTAGTTATTCCGCAGATCCAGGATTTACGGAGAAAACCATAGAAACTAAAATCTTTATTTAGCCGTAATACTAAATTAAAGTTTTAGGCTTAAACAGAGGTCAAAGAAAATTAAAACACTTTACAACAGCATCTGAGGTCAACTCCTATCAAGAACACCTAAAGAACCATAAACCACAGGAAATGATTACTCATGATCAGTATGCATGTAATTCTCTGTAGTGCTAGTAACTTTAACTTTAATTTTATTATTTCATCGTTCATATAGTACAAACTCAGTAACGCCAAAGCCGGGGGCTTATACGACCTGTGGTCAAAATGACAGAAATTGTTTTACGTAGAAATGAAGACTGAAGGCTAAAGGTGGGGGGCAAGTGTGGTGCAGTGGTGAGAGCACTCGCCTCCCACCAATGTGGCCCGGGTTCAAATCCTGGCGTCGACGCCATATGTGGGTTGAGTTTGTTGTTGGTTCTCTCCTTTGCTCCGAGAGGGTTTTCTCCGGGTACTCCGGTTTTCCCCTCCGCCTCAAAAACCAACATTTCCAAATTCCAATTCGACCAGGAATCAGGTAGACGAAGAACCACTAGGTGGATGTGGTACCTCCAAATCGTTAAAAAAAAAAAATACAAAACTTAAATTAAGTAATGCAAGCAGTCCTATAGCAGAGATAAAACTAGAAGTACTAGTGACAAATAAACTAACAATAAACTATGATAAACTATGATAATCCTGCGCAAATTCAATTCAGGCTTAAAAAGTAAAGTTTTAGTTTATTTATGTAAAGTCAGTGATGGTAAGGCTGTTACGGATAGTCAAGGGGATATCCGTAGGATATCCTTGGCCAAATAATCGGGGCTTAAAAACTAATAGCAAATTGATACCTAAGGAACATTTTATGCAAGTTGGTGGAGGAGCAAGGAAAGAGAGGCAGGTAGAAGGCTATTAAAGTGTGAGAATACGAAAAAAGAAACATGGAATTTATAGAGTGAATGGAGGGAAAGAATAAAAAGCTTCGAGACTAAGAGGCTTAGAACGTGTTCGTGGAGGAAAAAAGGTGATATTTCGCGCGAGAGAGAGAAAAGAAGAAAAGCCGATCTGTTCAAGCAGACTCTCAAGGTCATGTTTCACATTATCACAGGAGCTTATGAGTCATGTTTTTCCTGTCAGACGCTCATTTCTAACTGAATCAATCGTTGTTTCGGTCAGCATTTGTGAAATAGCGTACACAGTCTCTCAAGAGACATTCCACGGATTCCAACAAATCAGTTGTAGGGGAGTCAACAACCACCACTACTGTGAGGGCAATGAACACTGGGAACCAAACCTTGCTCTAAATATAGCGCAGCCATTGCGGCCATGCTTGATGCAAACTGAAATTACTTTTCAGCTCCATCGTACATGAAGGAGTTTTTTGCTGACGGTATAATTCGCTGTCTCTTATACGACGACTTTCTGTGACCCCATATACACATGCTTGTTTTGTAACGCATATATATGGGCTTTTTTTGTGCGCATATATATGCACGTTTGTAAGAAAATGGTCATATACTTGGGAATAAAAACCCCACAAAGCAGGAAAGAACGCAAGTATACGTGGCAAAAAAATGCACGTATATCGTGTAGCAGGAATGATTGCAAGTATACGTGGGAAAAAACCGCACGTATATCGTGTCATAATTTTGAAACAAATGGCCGACCATAGAACGAGGTATTCATAGATTATAATCATTTGAACTGAATTGAACTGTTGCAAAAAAATAATTTAAACAACTCTTGATCGGCTGAAAGTGAAAACTGACTTTGCAGGTGGATTACTTTACGTCAAATAAATTCTTATACCTAACTTCCATTTGTCGATTTGCAGATGAGTGTACAACAGGACAGCATAACTGCCACGTTGATGCATACTGCACCAACACCAAGCGTTCCTTCACTTGTACTTGTAAGCCAGGATATACTGGGGATGGTGTTAACTGTGCAGGTAGCAAACCATACGGAGCTTAAACTAACAGGATTTCATCTTTAGTTTTATGCTATTTCATACCATAAAGATTAGAGCCAATCAGAAAACTGGAGGCCGGTTTCATATTTAGTCAGTGGTATGTAGGTAGTTTCTTCGTGTTGTGGACGAGTGCAATCACAAAATGACGAGTAATACAAAAGATTAAAAGGACACTGTACAATATCTACACCACATAACAATAGCTAAGAAACACCCCACAGGTCGTATCCATGAAAAATGTCTGGTGTTAGTTGCAGCCTTCAGATTCCCCGTAGCCTGCGAACAGGCTGACATGTGCGATTTCGAGGGAAATTTGGCTTGCACATTTCCTAGACATATTAAATTCTACAAGCAGAATACTGCAATGCTAATCGTACTACGTGAAAGTTGACTCTGCAAGACATCAACACGACACCGAAAGAACTCAAAACAGAGCGGGATTGTAGCCATAGACAGCTGTGCATGTTTCGCCCTTCTTGGGGCTTGTCAGTATGGCGCAGCAAACAAAGAAAGCTCTGATGAAAAATATCCGCCACTCTGATTTTAAGGTGTTTCGATACAGTTTTTCAGAGGCCATACCGATATTTTTCAATCGCCTTAAAAGTGGTTTTTTCCTTGTCCGATCGCTATAACATTTTCACCAGTGATTGGCTACGGATTGAAATTTTTGAAAATGTAGTTTTAAGTAAAATCTATATTACTATGACAACAATAAACAAAAAACTTTGAAATTGATAACAGCCGAATTTTGTTTGATCTAGACCTGCTACTGAAAATCCAACACTAGGAACTTAAAGTTTGGTGTTTAGCAAACAATCTCCGTAAGAAGTAAAAAGTTCTGTATGTTTGAATTCGACTAAAACGAAAATATATTTCAAACCTTAAATTTTCAATAGCCGTGATAGATTATTTAATAAAAACGTTATAAATGACTCAAATTATTCTTAAGTAGCGTCAGAATGCTGGTTAATATCATATTTCGATGCTAGGAAATTTTGGTGTACTTTCGTTCTCGCGATCTTGAAAACTAACCCGTTTTCTCACCACCTGTATAAGGGCAACTTCATTCATAATTTGGACTTTTAGCGGTTTCTTGTATTTCTCTGAAACGACTCGAACGAATTTTTTTAAAATCTCTTCACATAATCTTCATAATGTATATAAAAATGTCTGAAACTTTGATTAAGATTGATTCCCTGCAACACCCTGAAATTTAAAGACAAACCTACCCTACGAACCGGTCAAAAATCTGCGTTACAACATTCACTGTTTTGACGTTATGCTAATTTTTCCAAAATAAAGCGCACTATACATACCTGCATGACTAGTACATTTTAGTTTGAATTTATCGCATCTTTTGAATAAAACATTGACAATACTCACACTGAAATGTACTAGTCATGGATATATGTATTGTCCGTATTAATTTGGAAAAATTAGCATAACGTCAAAACAGTGAATGAGTGTAGCGCGGATTTTTGACCGGTTCGTAGGATAGGTTTGTCTTGAAATTTCAAGGTGTTGCAGTGAATCAATCTTAATGAAAGTTTCAGCTGGACATTATTATATACATTATGAAGATTAAGTGAAGAGATTTTAACAAAATTCGTTCGAGTCGTCTCAGAGCTGTACAAAAAAGCGCTAAAAGTCTAAATTTTAAATGAAGTTGCACTTAGACAGGTGGTGAGAAAACGGGTTAGTTTTTAAGATCGCAACAACGAAAATACACCAAAATTTCCTAGCATCGAAATATGATATTAACCAGCATTCTGACGTTACTTAAAAATAATTTGAGTCATTTATAACGTTTTTTTAAAAAATAATCTATCACGGCTGTTGAAAATTTAAGGTTTGAAATATATTTTCGTCTTAGTCTAATTCAAACATACAGAATTTTTTACTTCTTACGGAGGTTATTCACTAAACACCAAACTTTAAGTTCCTAGTGTTGGATTTTCAGTACGTAGCAGGTCTAGATCGCACAAAATTGGGCGTTTATCAATTTCAAAGTTTTTTGTTTATTGTTGTCATAGTAATATCGATTTTAATAAAACCTACATTTTGACAAATTTCAATCTATGGTCAATCATTGGTAAAAATTTTAGAGCGATCAGACAAGGAGAAAATCACTTTTAAAGCGATTGAAAAATACCAGTATGGCCTCTGAAAAACTGTATCGAAACACCTTAAGCCCTGACCTACAACCCTCAACACTAGACTTGCTACAAGTCGACCTCTTGGCGAGCGGAGCGAGCCTTGTTTGACCGCTTCGCGGCCGACCGCGGGCGACGAAGTCGCGAGAGGTCGACTTGTCTCGCTTAATAGGTTTTCACTAGACTTTCCAAAACTCCTTCGTCGGATTTCATATGACGCGGCACGAAGGACTTTCCATACTTGATTAGCGCCAATTTTACCGACCCAAAAACGGGTCGGTGCGCTTGGACCAATCAGAGTAGCTCCCAAGGGCCCTTGGGGATAAAGCTGTCACTCACAAGTACTAAGCGCATTGAAACGTGACTTGAGGTCGATTGCGAAGTGGAAGGTGTTCCAAACACGACTCATAAGCTCCTGATAGTGTGATACGTGACCTTATAGTTTTGCTCTAACGAGGATATCTCCCAGCGATTTTGCTCTTTTATATGAAATGATGGGAGGCTCGTTGTATATTTCTCTCAGTAGTGGTTGATCTTGAATTAAGTGTCATTTGTTCATTAAAATGTTTTTAAGGTTCTGCAAAGTAGGGTGGTATGTGGTAACGAAAGGCAGAATTTTCTTTCGCACTTCATTGTTCTTTTGCCATGAAGCTGACTTCCGTTCGGTAAATTTAACCTCAGAGGTGATTTTTTCTATGAGATTGTGAGGGTAACCTCTAGCACGAAGGCGTTTTTTGAAGGTGTGAGATGTTTTCATAGAAGGATTTAGCTGAGGAGTTAGTTCTCAGGAATCTAATGGCTTCGCCCTTTATGAGACCTTTTCTGACCCCGTGAGGGTTACAGGAAGAGAAATGGGTGTATTAAAAAGTCTCTGTAGGTTTAAAAATGTGTACGGATGTCAAGGATTCCTTGGTTGTGAAATATCCTTTCCCAGTATTGACTCGAGATTGAAACAAGTTTTAGTTTTTTTCTAGCCTGCGAAAACATCCGTTTCTCCTCGCTCTTCACCGAGGAGAAACGGATGTTTTCGCAGGCTAGTTTTTTTCCGGCCCCCTGAGCTCGTCAACGTTCGCCTAAAATCATTGTTAGAGACAACTTTGGCACAAAGAAAACAAATTTGCTCCTTTGATGATGGAGATACACACACACGTTAAATAGATTTAGTCGGAGTGGAATCAGCACATTCCGCCATTGAAGTCAAGGACTCGCAAATGAAACCTGAAATCCCAAATGCGAGTCACGCCACTCCCCATTTTTGGCGCGAAATGCAATATGAAATCCGACGAAGGACTTTTGGAAGGTCTACCTCAACACCCACAGAATCACGCCATACCACGGGGGGCAAGTTGATGTCTCGCAGAGAAAATAAAGAATTGGCCAAAACCAACCTAAAAAACATGGGCAGAACGATGCAAGAATTACAGCATATCAGATCTATAGCCTTATTATTCTCGCCGGCTTTGTCCGCTCGAGCCGCCAAAATTTTTCCTTTTCGCGGGCTAAATTCCCCCCAGCGAAAGCTTTCCAAGTGTGCAACAAGTATTAGGCCTTATCACGGTTTTCGACGCCATCTTGACGAGTAGGCAAACGGGTGAGAAATTACAGAGATTGTATGAGAATCTAATGTCGAATAATTTCTGTAGAACGGCTGTTCTGAAAAAAAATATGATTTGTAAACAAAAGCTTCACTCCGAAGGATTCTCCTGAAAACATTTGAGGGCGTTACATGCACTAGAAGACCTAGAACCACTTTTTAAAATTTTCTTTACATTTGTCTGTAAGAAAGTCCCGGGAAAATTACAGACAAATATATGGAAAATCTAAAGCAAGCCTCTGGAGAAATTTAAGCACAGGTACGCCCCAAATTTTTTCAGAACAATCCTTTGCTTTGTAACTTTAGTTTACAATTGATATTTTTTTCAGAACAGCCGTTTTACGGAAATTATTCCACATTAGATTCTCATACAAACACTGAGATTTCTCACGTATTTTTTAGTTATTTGGCATTCAATCTAACTTCCTTTTTTGTTTTGTCCACTACAAAAATTTATCATTCTATAAAAATATGATATATATCTATCCTCATTTGATAGAATCGACACAAAAATCGAACCCGATTGATGATTCAGCATTAACTCTTGATTTGCAGACATAAACGAGTGTGAAACTGGAAAAAACCAATGTGACCCCGATACTTCAGTGTGCGATAACACTAAAGGATCTTACAAGTGTGTCTGCATGTCGGGTTTTTCCAAAAGTGGACATGAAGATAAATGTACAGGTAAATATACCACCGAGCACTTCAAGATATGCTAATTGAAATGGATACTTTAAAAATGTCTTCTTCTTTTGTCGAATTTAAGTGGGGTGAATCGGGTTGAAATGATAAAAGCATCGTCAAAATAACCTATACGGCATATTATGATGCTTAACAGATCTACAGTTTGATAATTCAACATTAATTCTTAATTTTCAGACATAAACGAGTGTGAGACAGGAAAACACAACTGTAACGCCACCAGTTCATTGTGCCGAAACACTAAAGGATCATTTAGGTGTGATTGCACGGAAGGGTATTTCAAAAGTGTACCTGAACATAATTGTACAGGTAAATATACTACCGAGCACTTCAAGATATCTTAATTGAAATGGGTACGTAAATATATCTTCTTCTTTTCAATTTTCCTTTTCGCGGGCTAAATTCCTCCAGCGAAAGCTTTCTAAGTGTGCAACATGTAAATTGGTTTATCATTTATATCTTTTAGTTATTTGGCATTCAATCTAACTTCCTTTTTTGTTTTGTCCACTACAAAAATTTATCATTCAATATAAATATGATATATATCTATCCTCATTGGATAGAATCGACACAAAAATCGAACCCGATTGATAATTCAGCATTAACTCTTGATTTGCAGACATAAACGAGTGTGAAACTGGAAACAACCAATGTGACCCCAATACTACACTGTGCGTTAACACTAAAGGATCTTACAAGTGTGTCTGCATGCCGGGTTTTTCCGAAAGTGGACATGAACATAAATGTACAGGTAAATATACCACCGAGCACTTCAAGATATCAATTGAAATGGATACTTTAAAAAATGTCTTCCTCTTTTGTCGAATTTAAGTGGAGTGAATCAGGTTGAAATGATAAAATGATCGTAAAAATAGGAACCTTTACGGCATATTATGATGCTTAACAGATCTACAGTTTGATAATTCAGTATTAATTCTTAATTTTCAGACATAAACGAGTGTGAGACAGGAAAACACAACTGTAACGCCACCAGTTCATTGTGCAATAACACTAAAGGATCATTTAGGTGTGCTTGCAGGGAAGGGTATTCCGAAAGTGTAGCTGAACATAATTGTACAGGTAAATATACTACCGAGCACTTCAAGATATCTTAATTGAAATGGGTACTTAAATATATCTTCTTCTTTTCAGGCACGGGTTTACGTGAATCAGGTTTAACAGAAATTTATCAAAACCTATCGTTTTCTTTTCTTAGTTTGTCCATTTTTTTGTCTTTTACTTTGCTTTGAAAATAAAGATGGAATTAAAGAGATCGAAACTAACTACTTGAAGAGCGCAAAATAGCGCGAAGCACTCGCTCGAGGGCCATGCGCACTGTCCTTCATGAACTGGAATGAATGACAGAATGACGCATTTCCGATGTTTTTTTTACAGGTAGGATGATGTCAAGTTGCAAGGAAATTTATGATAAGACTTTGTGAGTACAGCATACGTGCTTACTATGGTGTTAGCAACATTTTTTACTCAGTAATTTTTTCGTCTCGATATAACACACAACGTTTATGAATCAAAGAAAGACTATCGTCAACTCGTGGGTACGTTGTTTAGAAAATAATCAATTAGTTATCACCTCTGGTTTTCCCACAGTGAATTTTAGGAAAGGATAGAAATTCATATTATAAATATACTATCCTTGTTCTGGAAACACAATACTTTTCTTGCTGTTTATTGCACTTTAGTAACAGTTATTTAAGTATATATTTAAAAACAAAACAAAAAAACAGCAAAACAAATAAGCAAACAAGACAAAACAAAAAAGAAAAAAAAAGGAAGAAGGGAAAAAGAAGGTCCTAAGCAAGATTTCAACCCGGTGCCTTCGGTTTGACGCGACCTCACATGGCCACTACGCCATTGAGGATGGTCACGTGTTTTTGCGAAAAGTCTCAAATTTAATGCCTTTTCCATGGAACTTCCGCCGACAAACGACCGGGGCAAACGATCGAGCCATAAAAACGACTCGAAGCAATGGGATGAAATTAAGGCTAATTGAAACCAGGCTACTGACAGTAAAAAACAATGTAAACGCATTTCATGGCAATGAAAGAACATATGCTATACAAAGCCGACACAACTCCTCCGCGAAGGAGGACGCAAAACATTAGCCTATGTTTTCTTATCTCGATTTCCGCTGTTATTTTAAAAAGGTAATGCTCAAACTCCCATCCATTTCCCCCCGTGATCTTGGGGAGTCCTTAAGAAGAAGAAGAAGACGTACCTTTATTTACCATACATTTCACCAGTCCGTATTTTATAGTCCGTATTTTATACCCAGTCCGCAGTCCGTAGTCCACAGTCCGTGTTTTATACTGACCGCCATAAATTCATTCATACACATAACCTACTACAGTACTACAAGGTAGGAGATCAAGCCAGCGTCGAAGTTTGAAGGAGTCGAAGAGCAAATGCTCATCTTCTTGTCAAGTTTAACGCCTGGACGGGTCAAAGGCTTTTGAATCGTACTAATTTGAAAGATTCATGCCTGTCTTAAATTTGGTAAGACCTCTATCCTGACCGTTCGATAACCGTGCTGTAGCGCACGATGCATGCTCGCAGCGAGGAATTTGATGCTACCGAACTTCGGCGAGCGCGTGCTTCTTTGGAAACGATAGATCTTCGCGCTCTCGAGTTCGGACCCGATTAATTACGAAGTGCGTCTACTACGAGTGAGTGAGTGACTCATTTGCATATCTCAGTCCCTGCAATAACTCGTGGTACGCTCGCGCGTACCCACGAGTTAAAAATTAAAGATTGGAATAACTTACTGATAAATCTGAGAAAGGTCCAAGTGTCAGAATTGTTAAAAAGGAATACGAAGAGCGTTAATTTGCTAATTAAAAGAATTTCATAATTCTAATTAAATAGACTTTGAACTTGTGAGTAATCAAGGCATTTGAGTGATGAAATATGTTGTATACTTCATTTTTACCGTGCACATTTCTTTGGGCCTGTTTACATGGAGTGGGGGACCCCTGTCTAGTGGGGTTGGTTTCTTTTGTTTTCACGCTCTAGGGGACACAAAACAAAAGAAACTTAACTTACATGTAAACAGGGTCTTAATCATATAAATTATTATATGTTAATCAGTGTTATTCTAAGCTGTTTAAAATTTTAGGGCCACAAAGTTCATCCGTTTGACACTCTTGCTGTCAATTGTTACCTTCTTTCGTAAATCCAGTTGTCATCATCATGATCTTACTGTGCAATAAACAATCAAGAAGGCAACACTATTCAGGCTGTGTTACATTTCGCCATGTCACCTAGTGCCATAAAATGGAACTGTAGGAGCAATGGTTTCCAAATTTTTTTGTAGATATATATTATTTAAGTGTTGGGCCACAAGTTCAAATTTCCATCACTTCGGCTAGCGTTATGTTTGTAGCTGTCTGTCTATTAGTTTTCAATAAAGTGTTTCTATTTTTAAGGTTGACATACCTCTACGACAAATTTTGTTGTCTCATCATCGCACCCTAAAGAAAGGGTTTGCCCGAATTCATGGTATTGGTAGCTTTCTACCTTTCTACACACCTGGTCTATATATCAACATAGGATGATGAATGCGCGTACAAAAGCAATGATGTAATGATGTACACCTACAAGCATTAATTGAAAAGAGCCTGCAACTAAAAATCATCTAATATAAACTGACCCTGAGCATGATATCGACATTCGATTAGCCTGCGTAGCATGGCGGTTTTGGTTGGGCGCGCTAAGTAATAAAGGCGGGCGAGGGCAGAGAAACCGCGAGGAGATTGGGGCGGAAGCAACTTGGTTTTTATTTTTCTCGCGGCTTCGCCGCTCGTTCTCGCGTGCTTCGCGCGCGAATTTCGCGGCTACGCCGCTCCTGCGCCCGGCTCGACAAAACCGCCATGCTACGCAGGCTAACATTCGATGGGCTGCTGCTTACTTTAAAACAATACACATTCGATGAGTAGAAAAACACCGTTGAGTGGCAGAATTATCAAAGTCAGGTATAGAAATTTAACATTGTTTGGCAATCACATTATTTCTCAAGGTACAAGATTCCATGGCCTCAGGAACTGCAAAATGATAAGCTTGTTTAAAAAGAATGCAAAGAACTCGACGTGACATGCCTAACCATCTAACGCCGTGAAACCTTGGAGGACCGTTCTTTCATTCACAGATTTTAACCTTTTGAAGTCGCTAGCCCCATCAGCTCGCTCTTTAATCTAATCTTTGGACTGTTTGCCTTGTTTACATGTAACATAGTTTCTTAGTAGCGAGAGGAAAAATAACAGGCTCAGTAGATTTTGTATTGTGAGAATGAAACCGACGGTATGTCAGGTACACAACAGAGTAAATTCGCATTTAATTTCACTGCACGCCTGTTAAACTTCGATCAATCAATCAATTTGTTTGCCCTTTTTAACATAGTACAATAATTACACAGTCTTATAATTAAAATATACTTGGGCAGGAACTCTCACCAAACCCTGTAGGGCTATTTGAGGAGAGCCCCTGGACACGTTTTATACAAGTATGATTTAAATTAAGATTACATGTCTGTGTTATAGATTGCATGCATAAAGTATGGAGCGACTACTTACATTTTTATTATATGTTTGATTAAAGATCTTGAAAGATCTTGTCTTCTTGAAATGTTTGCCGTTAGAATTATGTTATCAAAAGCTCTCAGAGCCCTTTTTATTCACTGACACAGTAATTTGGCTTATAAACTCTGTACATAATTCGCGATACTGGATCGCGCACAATTACAGCAGCCGCAAGCGAAAGATGTACCTTATTATAGGAAATTAACGCTCGATGAAATTAACGCGAATCTTTAAAATTCGCGTTAATTTTGTTGAGCGTTAATTTCCGCGACGTTAATTAAGTGCAGCGTTAATTTCCGCGTTCTTAATTTCCAGTATTTTAACCCCAATTTTCGAACCTGTCCAGATATTCTTGACACCTAAAAAACACTAACTACAAGCTTTCTTTCCATTTACCCTTTATTTTTCATCTTTTACAAAAGCTAAGGAGAAGGTTTACAATATTTCGAGTTCATGTTCATCGTTGTCGCTGTCAGCAGTGAGGTCAATATCTTCTCCTTTGATTTCGGCCAAGATAGATTTCGAATCGTCAAGATAGTCTTTCTCGACAGAATATGACAATCGCGTTAATTTCCTTTATTATGAAATTCTACCTCCTCCTTCGCGTTAATTTTCTTTATTCCAAAGTCGTTTTCCATTAAATTCGCGTTAATTTCCATACCTTAATTTCACGGAGAGTTAATTTCCTATAATAAGGTAGTCCATGTAGAGCATAGCATAGTTTTAACTTTAAAAATAACTGTGGGTCAATGCAGTGTGCTCCTTTATGGACGTCGTAAGAAGCTCCAAAGCATTGTAGAAGCGAGTTAACCACTAAAATAAGGTAACTAAAGAGCTTGATTTTCAATATTTACTTAAATACCGGTTGTCCAGAGCCGGGAACTCTGCTCTGCTCTGATTGGATATCACTATTAAAGAAGGCGTGAAAAATATTCCGCGAAAGCGACTTTCTATAAGTAAATTTTCATGGGAAAGGGTTGACTCCATTTCCATTTCTCCTCGGCCTAGCACGCCTTCCTCTCGGTGGCAGTCCAGGCTTGCTCACTATTGAGAGGCGTTAGTATGCGGAATTGGAACACTGGTGGATTGAGCCTTTCCCGGCCAAAACAAGAACAGCAAAATTCTGTTTGGCAGTTTTTAATATCTGGCTGAAAGTCAAATGCATATCTCCGACAGGTTACAGAAACTTGACCTTCAAAGTGATCTTGTTGCTTCATGGGATGGGATGCTGATTTTGGCAGGCGATGTAAACATCGATATGATCAAACAAGAAACATCTGATGTCAAGCGGTATATTGAAATGCCCTCGAATCACTGAACCTGAAGCAAGTCGTCACCAAACAGGGGCGGATCCAGGATTTTTTTTTAGGAGGGGGTGCACTCCTCTCTTGCTCTACTTCAACACCAATAAACCACATTTTTTTTTTTGCAGAATACCAGTTGTATTAGAAAACCGCAGGTCATCCCGAGGGGGGGTGCGCACCCCCTGCACCGTCCCCCTAGATCCGCCCCTGCCAAAGCAACAAGAACTACTAAGTCCAGTCAAACGCTGGTTGATCACGTTATTACCAATCTTCCTAGACGCGTTACACATACTGATGTTCTCCCATGTACACTCGTTAGCGATCACGACGCGTCATATGGAGCCCTGACACAACACAAAAACAAAGATATTAAAACTAGACAATTAATTAAGTTACAAAGGCAACATGTACTGCAGGCGTTACTGTTTAAAATAGCGCTTTGGCTTGATTTTAAATTCTCTGAGGGTCTCTACTTGTCTAATGATTCTCGGTAGGGTGTTGTAGGTCCGAGCACCGGTTATTCTGAAGCTACCTTGGTATTTAGTATTTTTTGCGAAGGCGGGGCGCAGCAAATAACGGCTTCCGGTGTTATCGCCATGGAAAAGGTGCGCGTGCCTAAAATCTGCAAGTAAGTACAAAGGCGCTATTCCGTGAAGACACTTATGGACTAAGACGCATTTGAGACAATTTCTGCGTGCTTGTAGGCTGGGCCAGCCAAGTGTTGATTTTAACTCCTCAACCCCGATAGATCAACCTTTAATAAAACAGGCGGCGCGTCTGTTTAGCTTATCTACATAAGCTTTGCTCCCAACCCCACAGCTGTCCCAGACAGGCGAACAGTAATCGAACAATGGCAAGACTATAGTATTGGAGAGCATTTGACAAGTTGGCTTGGAAAGAATCTTACGCGCTCGGCGCAGGATAGGCTAGACGAGATCTTATTACTGATATATTCTATGTGGTCCTTCCAAGATAAGGTGTTGTTTAGGACCCCAAGATATTTAAACTTGTTAACTATTTCTAAACGAGTGTTACTGATTTCTATAACTAGATCGTCAGCCTACGCGGTGCTCTGATGAGTACCAACAAGCATAATCAAGATTAAGTATTAAAAAATTAGCTTGAAGCCAGCTTAGGACATAAGGTAGGCCACTAGTTAACTGAGCTTGAATTTCACTGACTGACGTGCTTGCAAAATAGATAAGTGTATCGTCAGCATAAAGCTCGACGCTACAACCTTGAACTGCCAAAGGTAAGTCATTTACTGTAGAGGATAAATAATAAAGGGCCAAGTACGCTACCCTGGGGGACCCCGAAAGATATAGGCGGGGGCTCAGACAAGACCCCATTAGTGCAACACTTTGGATGCGCATGGTTAAGTAGGACCTAAACCACTGGACAGCAGAGCGATTCATTCCTAGTGAAGTTAACTTGTCTAACATGATGCTATGGTCTAAGGTGTCAAAGGCCTTGCTTAGGTCTAAAAATATAAGGCCAGTTACTAGTCCTTTGTCAATGTTTTCCAGCAGAGTGTTTGTTACGTGTGTGAGGCACGGTCAATGCGCTTGTCATCCGTTTCACTCCAAGATACAAGGTTATTAGGTACGAAAAACAGTTCAGGGACGATTTCACTCAACTTCATTTGAAGTCGTTTATGCTTTAATTAGAGGATCCTAACGAACAAGTAAGCGCTTTCAATACTCTTATTTCGGACTGTTTAGAGTGACATGCACCCTTCAAGCGTGTGAGGGTGACAAGACCACCTGCGCTCTGGTTGAATGATCCGAACATTCGAACGCTGCAGGAGGCATGCAAGCGTTATCGTAGGGAAGCACACACAACCCCTCACAGTGAGGCTGCGTGGGACATCTTCAATGACTCCCGTAACAGTCTTAAGAAACTGATTGGGAAAGCAAAGAGAAGGTTTATGACCAATGCACTCTCGTATAAGCGGCCCAACGAAGTATGGAAGACGATCCATCGCATAGTTCACCCTAGTCAGCAACCAATAACTGTCTATCCGGATACTAAGCACTTTGCTTCTGCAGCTAAGCGTGTCGATGCCTCAGTAGGAACTTTAAGATCCAACGACGGGTACGGCAACGAGAAGGTCAAAAAAACAATAAGTTTAATAAGCAAAACAACAAGTTCGCACGTGCATCACACTTTTTTTGTTCATTTCTCTCAGTTTTTGCACGACTACGACATGAAAATGCCTTATTTCGCGTTTTAAGGAGGACGTAAACAAGCAACGACGAAATTTTATTTCTCTTTCTGAGCTTAGATCAAGGTCATACGAAATTCAGCTTCAGGAGGGTTTGCCTACATTTGACAAAGTAAGCGGGTAGGAATAATCGCTATAAAGACTGAAAGAACGCAAATTCACATTTTAAGAGACGTTCTCGTTGTCGTCGTATCGTTGGATCTTAAAGTCCTTAGTGGCAGTTGATAAGGAGGAGCTGCATAGGCGTATTAATGCGCTTGCGCAGTACCCTGATACTTCCTTTCGTCTGAAGAGTGTTACCTATATGAAGTTAGTCGGTAGATCAAAGCGCTACGGTCCGACTGCTCTACTGGTCCGGATAACATTCCAACCAAATTCATCAAGCTAGTCCCAGACCATTTAGCATCGCCTTTAACGCATATCTTAAGAGGGTCTCAATGGGGTTAACCGATAGGCGTAAAACGGTCAAAAATTTAGTCGATAGCCGTAAAAATTGAAAAATTTTATCCGTTAGCAGTAAATAGAGTAAAAAAGAGTTAACCGTAAAAGAAACTGTTCCTTAGATTTGCTACTTTTAAGGAAGGTACTAAACTCACTTATGGTTGCGTTTTTTATTTCCCGGCTAGTGTGGCTCCGTACGCACGTTAGGTAAAGCGCCTTTGAGGTGTTGACCAAGACCTTGGCTCCATTTCCGCCACCCTCTCGGGGAACTAATTTTTTCCATAGCGAAAGTGTGGCCTCTTGCTTGGGATTAATATTTGCGATTTTCAGAAGGTCGTGCCCTCAAAACACTAGTGGAACAACACGAAGAGATGTCACTGTTTGTAAAACACGTTGCCGATAAACAACATTTCCCTGTTTTTCTCTGACGCTACGGTAGACATTGCCATGCCTAGTCCCTGTACGGCGTCTTCCCACGCAATCTCGGTCAAGGCGTTTCGGTGGCAAACTCGCTAGGACCACGTGACCCGAAACACATTAGCCGCGCGGAATAATGAGGCCTACGGACAAGGCAACGGCAGACAGTCGTTCCGTACAGTCCTTCGCTATTCAAAAACACTGGACACGGGAATATTGTTATTGGCCGTTTTCACGCTAGAGCTAGAGATGGATTACCCGTTTGAGACTTGCCTATGTACAGTCGCGCCCTCCCCACAGACACCCCTTCTCCGATTTTTTCTGAGTGGAGGGGAGGGGGGCTGTACAAAAGCTGTCTGGAACGGATATTCCCGTCTTGAAACTGTCCGTCGAAATTGACGGGTAAAGCCAGGCGGATTGTTCATTCAAAATTAAAACTATTCCAGTTTCAAATAAAGAAGTATTACCTATCTGACGCGAATCATCAAACGGATAACCCGTCTTACACGAATAATCCGTCCCTAGTGTGAACACGGCCATTTCTGTTATAATGAATGTTGCGCCCCGGCCTTGAGTTGGATGTTTGCGTGTCTGCTTTTGCTTTTTCACAAGATTATTTTCAATTTGACTATTGACATTTCTATGTGTAAAAAAATATTAGAAGTGAAATACTTTATAAAAAGTATGATCTATCAAATGTTAAAATTTTTCAAAAGAATAAATTGTTTCATCCCGAGATGATCCGAAGACCTTTATTTCGATTTAAAGATAGAAAAAGTACAAGTTAATTAATATTTAACTTTTTGAAACAAAAGAAGTTAATTTTTAACTTTTTTGTTAACCGTAACTGAAAAAAATTAACCGATAGCCGTAAAAGAGCCAAAATTTTAGCCGATAACCGTAAAAGCCACCACCCCATTGAGACCCTTTCCAACTCTTTGGAAGGTTGCACTCAGGAAGGGGGGGCAGGTAACTCTATTGTTTCCACCTAAGTTTCTTGACCCACTCCGCCTGCCAGTATGACGTCACATAGTAACGGGCAAGAGCCTCGCGTCGCTTGTGCAAATTAGGAAGGGATATTTGATACGACAGTTATTTGGACGACCGAGGTGTCGAGAAGCTAGCAAGTATCGCTATATATCGCTTATTTGATCGAATGTGTGTGACCTTTGGTGTTGCTATAATCTGCTTGTGTAAATCGTTTTGACATTTTGTGCCCGTGATTGTATAATTTTGTTAATTTGTTTAGCGGGCCGTGTTGCGGGATCCCCATCTATTTCACGCGACCGGCGAGGTCATCAAAACTTAAATCTTTTTTTTCTCTAAACTAGGCAAGGTCTAGTCTCCAGAATAAGAGGTTCCATTCACAGATCTCGCATGTTTGTATTTCATCTCTTCTTTTGGTAATTAAATGGGCCTAACTTCATATCATTCCTTTCGAGTGTGGGCCTCTGTTGATCTCCAAATTCTCCACCAAATTCAGTAAAGCTAGTTCGATCGATGATCTACATCGAGTCGGCTCGTTGAACCCGAAATAATGCGAAATAGCTATGAAATACACGCTTAAGCTTATTTTCCTCAAATGTATATTTGAATTCATGATAAATACAGCTCCAACAGCTTCAAACAGCGTCCATGGCAGGGAAAAATTGTTTTGATATGACAAAATTAATTTTTCATATCATGCTTGTCACTGTGGTACAGTGGTCAAGGAGTTGCTTGCATGTGCAGATAAACCGGGTTCGACTCCCGGCGACGCTGTTTTCTGTTTCTTTGTACCGTTTTTTTTTTCCTGTTTGGTCTCTTTTTTAACACTATTTTTCCTTTTGGCCTTTTTTTCTTTATTCTCACGGCTGACCCTGCTGGTCATGCACTTGGATCAATGATATTTTAAGCTTAAGTCCGGAGTTTTATTTGGAAAAGGGCTTTCAAAAGCTCTTGATCTGCATACTGGCCAAGCTTACGACCAGATAATAATCATAAGCCCTGTCAAGACATGTCCCTCCTCTGAATTGTTTTCAGTGTTAGTTGACATCATGACAAACAACACACAGTACACCACAAACTGTACTAATTTACACCCAACACCCACCAGTGACCCACTGGCGAAAGTTAAACTTGCCTTTTGTACCCATCGTCTTAATCATCAATATTATTATAAAATCTTCACTGGGTTTGCCCCCAAAAAATAGTTAAACGAAACCTTTTATTGGTTTTCGGGATTAAATTACAGAATTACAACTGTATGCCCAATACAGTATTAAAATGCGGTAAAGCAACAAGATTCAATGTTCACAGTCTCTCACAAATACCTGTCATAGCTTCCTCTTTCAACGCTACATCTGAGCGAACTTTGAGAGGAATGATATGGGGTTCCACTAGCTCTGAAGAGCTGAAAATACGCACAATGTAAAGTACAATACATCCTTTGATGAACCTCCTATTGCTGTGTCTAAACTCCTCAATCTTGCTGTGCACTGGCCCTCAAAAGTGTGACCGGTCGGAATGTTTGCCCGTAAAATTTGCTCGACGATAGAAAGGAATCTTTAAAATTCATTACTTCACCGGACATTTCATTCCAAAAAAGTACTTAAGTCTAGTTTTCTATGACAATAGAAACCTTAAAATCTCCAAATCCAAGAAATCGGAACAGTATTCCCGTGATTAAATCGAAATTTTTTATCTGTCTCTTCGATGAACACTTTGCTCGCCATTTCAAAAATTAATGACGCGAGACGTGACGTCATACTGGCAGGCGGACTGTACCACAGATTTCCTTGGAGACACCTTCCCCCCCGGAATATTTAATTGTTGTGAATTGCGTATCACGCGGCCAGAAACTTGGCCTCTGGTAACTAGCTTGGATGTGAGGTAATCTGGGACACAGTACAGCCCGTCATACATTTAAACGCAAAAACAGCGTCCCTTAAATATAATTGCTATCCTACAGGTAACTAGCACAAATCCCGGAGAACTGGAGAGATATGATCGAATTTTCTCGCTCCACTAATTATCCGGGCGGCAAGGTTCTGTACGTGTTGTAATTTACGTATATTTCTATCAGAAGTGCTAGACCAGACCGCCGAGCAGTAAATTAATTTGCAGAAAACAAGCGCGTGAATTAAAACCGCTAGAAAGTCTAAATTAAAAGCGTGTTTTGCGCGGTTTGTCTGGGGTAGCTTAGAAATACATGAAGCAGTGAGAGCTGAGATATGGCAATCAAATGTCAGGGTAGGATCGAATATCACACCTAAGTCATTAACGGAGTCTGTAGGTAATCAACAGAGGTGAGGTCACCATTGCAATTATGGCAGACTTTTCTAAAGCTTTTGATACAGTTGTGTATGAGACATTTCTGTGCAAATTGCATAAGCTAGGGTTTTCCAAGTCCTCTCTACATTAGATTGTGAGTTATTTGACTGATCGAACTCAGTACGTCCAAATCGATGATCGCTCGTTGGAACGCTTAAATGTGTCTTTTGGGGTACCTCAGGGATTCATTTTGCGTCCCCTCTTATTCAACCTTTATGTCAACGACTTGACTGACGTACTACCAACCAAAGTAAATTGCCATCAATATGCGAACGATATTACGATTTATAGTCACTGTAAACCATCTGAGCTTCTGAGGGTTGTCTGGCGGAGATGCAGGCTGTTTACCTGGTCATTCCTATGTAACATGGCTCTCCATCCTAAGAAGACTAAAGTAATGCTTCTTTCAACTCCCCAGATGTCACAAACTCATGGACTAGACGGACCCTGCATCCATCTCTGCGCAAATTGAAAGAGTCTCCAGCGAGTTTTAACTTTCCGTCTACTTGGTACGGAAGTGCACGAAAACGTCAACTGGAAAAGAGAAATAAACTGCAGATCTCAAGTTGTTACGGAACTTTGATAAGAAGCTGAAATACCTTGCCCCTTATAATGTCAGAAAACACTTAGCAGAGTGTCTTATTTTGTCAAAGATCGATTATAATGACATTGTCAGTGATACTATAGCAGATTATCTTGTTAAGAGACTTCAGCGAGTACAGTTAGCGGCTGCTAAGCTGTCTAGCTGGTCATCCCGATATAACTATGTGACTAGACGGGCACTCCATCAATCTCTGCGCAAATGGAAAGGGTCTCGAGCGAGTTTCAAAGTTGCGCTTAGCGGCTGCTAGTTTTGTTTTAAGACGCTACGCAGCCAAGCTTGACTTGCTTTATTAAATACGTTCATACACTCCCCAAGTTCCCTCGAAAACCATACCCGATTCCAGACCAAAATGGGCAAAGTTTATACCCGGTTTCAAACCAAAACGCCCCAAAAACCCAACGGCGTCCAGGATCGATCTTGTTAGCAAATTGTTTTCGCAATTGTCGCAAAAGAAATGATTGAGCAGAAAATTTTGTGAAATAATCACTTACAAATATCGCAACAAAAAACAAATGTAACAAAATTTAAGACTTAGTAAGAGTCCAAGCCAAGAAGGGCCCCGAAAAGTCCGCAAGTGTCGCAAAAATCGCGGAAGTAACAAGAATTTTTCCTGCTAGCTAAAAACACCAAGTAACATTCTCATTGTAAGTGTAGAATTTTGTTAAATTCGGTATTCTTGCTTTTTTGCCATATTTGTTACTCAAT